AACAAAAATCAGTTGACATTTCTCAAATCTATACATTTTAAATATATCAAATTATTAGTTTCCTGGTGTACTGTATTTTGGCTTTTAGGTTTATGATTCTTAGTATGAGAGAGGAAGGATAATCTTCAACATAGTAAAAAAAAAAAAAAAAAAAAGGAGGAACACGCAAAGATTTTACTTAAGCTTGACATGAGATTGGAAGAAACCAACAAGTCCGTTTGAGAATAAACAAAGTCACACTTGAAGAAGGGCAAAAATCAGAAGTGACCTAATAAAATCTCCCTAATAACAGTAATGGTAAGATGGTATTATATATAACTTTTCTCTCTGACTCCTGGAAAATTTATCCAATTTAAGTGGTTATCTATCTCTTGCCTCACAAATAATCCCTTAAAACTTTTTATTTCTGTTACTTGCTAGATTGAAAAAACATAATTAAAAATTATTTTATCGGTAAAATATCTACCTCAATTCTCAAATTTAGTGTAATGAGTTGTTTTAAAAGTCAGATTACATAAGACAAACCAACACTACACTACTTCTCCACAACTAATGTATGATAAAAATGAGAACAAATGATTAAAACATACAAGCTGATAAATGCAAAATTGTTTAAAATACCTTTTATATCTTATGATATCTAAGGCAATGGGTTAAAATAACTCTTCCTTGATAACTTTGAGGTTCATGAAAATTGTGATTATATTTAATTAGAGGAATTCAGTATATTTCTTCATTTTCCTTAAGAGATTTCCCTGGAGAGAAAATAAATTTCCACAATCATAAATCTATGTTTTTATTAAAATTCTTAAGTTCTTTTTATTCATAAATCACGAATGTTTTTGGAGACAATTTAGAAGATCTAGATTAAAAAAAGAAAAAAAGAAGGAGAAAATAAGAACCACACATCATTTAATCACCCAAAATAACACTGGGAGCATTTTGGTATCTATCTGTTTAGACTTTTCTTTTGACTTCTTCTATAATACATATTGTTTTAATAAAAATTGAACCATCATGTACATTATTTTATGTAACCTGCTTTTTCCACTTAAACACATATTGAAAATAAATTTGTATTTTACTTTTTAAAATTAAATATCTTAATATTTAACAATTTGTTTATTGTTGGATATCTAGATTGTTTATAATCTATAACGAAGATACTTATTAATATTACTTTATTTATTTATTTATTTTGGAGACAGAGTTTCACTCTGTTGCCCAGGCTGGAGTGCACGATCTTGGCTCATTGCAACCTCCATATCTTGGGTTCGAGCAATTCTTCTGCCTCAGCCTTCCTAGCTGCTGGGACTACAGGTGCACACTACCATGTCTGGCTGATTTTTGTATTTTTAGTAGAGACGGGGTTTCACCATGTTGGCCAGACTGGTCTCAAACTCCTGGCCTCAAGTAATGCGCCCATCTCAGCCTCTCAAAGTGCTGGGATTACAGGTGTGAGCCACCACACCCAGCCTGAAGATACTTATTACATATGTTATTTATATAAACAGCATTAAAAATTACTAACAATTTTTTCCACTAAATTTATGGGATATAAATCCTTCTGATTTTGGAGAGAAAAAGCAAGTCAGGATTAGACTTAGGTAAAATTTAATTTAACAACATTTATGTAGTAATTCCTGCCAAGCACTATTCTAACCCCTTTAGAAATATTAATTCATTTAATCCTGATAACTCTCTGAGGCATGTATTGTTCCTATTCCCATTTGACGATGGGAAAATGAGGCACAGAGTTTAGGCAACTTGCTCATTGTCATATAGGTAGTAAGGAGTAGAGCTAGTCTCACATCAGGCTCATGCTCTTAATCATTCCCTTACAAGGCCTCTTTCTGTTATTTTGGGTAATCTGTGAAGTGGGGTTTGTGAAGTTAATTGGGAAACCTGGGGGGTATCTCAGAAAGATAACTTGATAGGCATTGGGAAGGATTTTGATATTAAAAGAACCTAGAACTTCTCCATAGATCAGGAACAGAACACCTGGCATTATTTTATTAGAATCAAAAACAGAAAATCATACCTGAGGATTGGTATCCTTCTCTTTTCAAATCTTTTGTGATTTTCGAATGCAGCATTCGAAAATATAGTGATTGTGCAGAATGTAATTTTTAAACTTTCTTCTAACATTTTCCTGTAAAGAAAATCTGCTGAATATAATTCATTTAATGAGAAAAAAATTATAAACTGCATTTACAGTGATGTACTCTCTTAAACGTTTGCCCAAAAGTTTGCTATTTAGGCTTGAATAGAGTCAATCCTAAGAAATCCTGTGCTCATATAGAAGCAACAACATAATACTGTTTGTTTTCCATCAAAGTCAGTGAATGTAAAGATTAACTTAAAAGCAGCTGTCCTAAAAGCAGCCTCAAAACAGGCGGTTCAAACCAGCGGAAGACCTAGCCCACTGTTACAATGAAACATGCTCAGAGGAACTAAAGAAAGCTCCAAGGACAAAACTCTTTAGAAGTCTCCGGGGTTGGATGGCAGGCCTATTTACAAGACGGATTAGTTGTTTTGAGGAAGAACAAAGGCCTCTTCTTATGCTCACTGAGGCTGCTCTTCTGTGGAAAATTTTACTGTTAGTTACAGGGACTGGAATTCTCAACAGTGTTTGAAACAAGCAGCACTATCAAAGGAACATACCTAAAAATAATAAGAGCCATCCATGACAGACCTACAGCCAATATCATTCTGAGTGTGCAAAAGCCGGAAGCATTCCTCTTAAGAACTAGAACAAGACAAAAATGCCCACTGTCACCACCCCTATTCAACATAGTACTGGAAGTCCTAGCTGGAGCAATCAAGCAAGAGAAAGAAATAAAAGGCATCCAAAGAGGAAAAGAAGTTAAACTATTTCTCTTCTCTGACGATATGATTCTATACCTAGAAAACCCTGAAGACTCTGCCAAAAGGCTCCTGAAACTGATAAACAACTTCAGTGAAGGTTCTGGATACAAAACCAATGTACAAAAATCACTAGTATTTTTATACACCAATAATGTTCAAGCTAAATCAAAAATGCAATCCCATTTACAATAGCCGCAAAAAATAAAATACCTAGGAATACAGCTTTAACCAAGGAGGTGAAAGATCTCTATAAGGAGACCTACAAAACACTGCTGAAAGAAATCAGAGATGACACAAACAAATGGAAAAAGCTTTCTTGCTCATAAATTGGTAGAATCAATATTGTTAAAGTGGCCATATTGCCCAAATCAATCTACAGAGTCAACACTATTCCTATCAAACTACCAATGTCATTTTTCAAAGAATTAGAAAAAACTATCCTAAAATTCACATGGAACCAAAAAAGATCCTGAATTGCCAAAGCAATCCTAAGCAAAAAGAACAAAGCCAGAAGCATCCCATTACCTGACTGCAAATTATTCTATAAGGCTACAGTAACCAAAACAGCATGGCACTGATACAAACAAACACACAGACCAATGGAACAGAATAGAGAACCCAGAAATAAAATCATACACCTATAACCAATTGATCTTTGACAAAGCTGACAAAAATAAGCAATGGGGAAAGGACTCCCTTTTCAATAAATGATGCTAGGATAACTGACTAGTCATATGCAGAAGAATAAAAGTAGATCCCTACCTGTCACCATGTATAAAAATGAACTCAAGACTGGTCAAATATTTAAATGTTAGAAATCAAACTATAAAAATCCCAGAAAAAATCTAGGAAATACCATTCTGGACATCAGCCTTGGCTAATAATTTATGGCTAAGACCTCAAAAGCAATCACAAAACCAAAAATTAACAAGTGGGACCTAATTAAACTAAAGAGCTTCTGCCCAGCAAAATAAACTATCAACAGAGTAAACAGACAACCTACAGAAATGGGAGAAAATTTTCACAAACTATGCATCCAACAAAGGTCTAATATCCAGAATCTATAAGGAACTTAAACATGTCAACAAGCAAAAAAACAACTCCATTAAAAAATGAGCAAAGGACATAAACAGACACTTCTCAAAAGAAGACATACAGGTAGCCAACAAACGTTAAAAAATGCTCATCATGACTAATCATCAAAGAAATGCAAGTCAAAAACCACAATAAATGCCATCTCACACTAGTTGGAATGGCTATTAAAAAAGCAAAAAAATAATGGATGCTGACAAGGCTTCAGAGAAAAAGGAACACTTACACCTTGCTGGTAGGAATGTATTAATAAATTAGTTCAGCCACTATGAGAAGCAGTTTGGAGATTTCTCAAAGAACTTAAAACAGAGCTACCATTCAACCCAGAAATCCCATTCCTGAGTATATACCCAAAGGAAAAGAAATCATTCTACCAAAAAGACACATGCACTTGTATGTCCATCACAGCACTATTCACAATAGCAAAGACTTGAAATGAACCTAGGTGCCCATCCATGGTGGATTGGATAAAGAAAATGTGGTACTTATACACCATGGAATACTATGCAGCCACGAAAAGAACAAAATTATATCCTTTGTAGCAACAAGGATGCAGCTGGAGGCCATTATTCTAAGAGAATTAACGCAGGAACAGAAAACCAAATACCACATGCTCTTACTTATAAGTGGGAGCTAAATATTGGGTACACATGGATACAAACATAAGAACAACAGATACTGGAAACTCCAAGAATGGGGAAGAAGGGAGAGGGGCAAGGGCTGGAAAACTACCTATTGGGTACTATCCTCACTACCTGGGTGAAGGGGTCAATCGTACCCCACACCTCAGCATCACGCAATATATCAGTGTAACAAGCCTGCACATGTACCCCATACGTCTAAAGTCAAAGTTGAAATTTTTAAAGAGAAATAAAAATAGTTTTGTGTTAAAGAAAAAAAAAAAAAAAACTAGCAGCACAACACGTAAAGTTTAATTCTGACAAGTTAATGAGCCTAGTCACTGGTGAACTAAGAGAAGGTAAGGGATTCAGCCCAGCAGTGGTACAGGGGTAGGACACACACAGAATAAATGATCCATATTAGCAAGCCATATTGCATTTTATTGCATCACGTCGTATTTTAGAGCTAGTTGCCTAACTCAGAGGCAGCTATAGAAAAATTAAATTTGTTAAACTGAAAAGATTATTTTGCTAGATTCTATTTCTAGTTTTGTTTAGGGGAAGACAGTTTCGATGATACCTCAGATGCATCCCCTCTTTATCACTGAAGAGGATCATTCTGGAACCTCCCTGTGCTGCTAACGGGGTCATGGTGTGGTTTGAGTCTCCACTGCACATTGGAAGATGAGGAAGAGTCTGGGTGGGACCATGAGAGAGCTCTTCTACCACTTATCTCGACCGACAGTTTCTTCCAGTCCTAGTTGCTGTCCTTGGCAATCACAGAGTTCAGTAAGCGTAATTTAAAGAGCCGGACTCATTCAGTAATCTAAAAGAAAGGAAGAGACAACAAGCGTCAGCTGAAAGACTAAAGAAATCAGACTTAAGTTTGATCAATATAACATAATGGGTGGTTTAGTTCCACTTCTGTGGGGCTGAAAGTTTGATTACATGGCAAACACGACAAAGAACAAGCTTAGAGAATCTCTGGAGTTGTTATCGCTTGGTTTCGTTATTGGAGGATTCTCTTTCTAAATGTAAGACAGTGAAGTGACTTACTCTGAACACAGACCTAAATTTACCCTGTAAGTGGCCTCAAAACGAGAAAACTCAGTCTGAGAACTGGCCAACTGAAAACCAACGTAGGAGAAGAAGGTGTTCAAGAATACATCCAAGATAGTATTTTCAAAGATGCTTTTATTACTGTTACTTTTTCAAAAACAAAAAGGAAGAGGATCCTTCTATTTACTCAATCACTCAACAAAAGTTTATTGTCTGCTAACTGCCCAGAACATCAGAGGTGAGTAAGACAGGTCCCTGCCCTTCTGTCCTTTAGAGTCCCTGGGGAAGCAGACTCTGTCAGAGACCTGCCCTTCCTGTTGTGGCCGTCTCTATCACACAGGGCTGGGTCCTGACTTCTATTTGCAGTGTAGGTTTTCAGTAACTGACAGAATACAATAGCAGCTACCATTGATTGCTCCTTACTAAGTGCTTTATAAATGTGATGTCTCTTAAATCCTTAGAACAACTAGGCAAGAGGTAACCTATAGAGGCCTTGTGCAAACTAGAAACAGAATTTCTGTGAGGTAGATTATGCCCAGTGATCTGAGCCCAGCTGAGATGCTAGTCCCTTCTCACCTGTTCCACTAGGTTCCTTTGTTCACAGGCTGTACAACTGTACCTGGCATGCCTGTCAAGAACCTAGTTAAAGTATCATCAGTCTCATTTTACAAAGGAGGAAACTAAGGTCCAGAGAGGTTAAATAACTTTTCCAAACTCAATTCTCAGGAAGTGACAGAGCCTTGACTCAAAGCTGCATTTGTTTGTTTCTGAAATGTTGTTGTCTTTCTCCTATTTCAATTTTCTTTCTTGTTTTGTCAAGATTTACCAAATCTCCTCTTGCTGAGGCAATAATAATAGAATTCCCTAAGAGCCTATTATTTCTTATGCATGATTTCCATATGGTCTTAGAAGTCTTCTCCTTCTGTTCTCTCCTACTAACGTTGTTTTTGTTTGTTTGTTTGTTTGTTTGTTTTCTGAGACAAGGTCTCACTCTGTTGCCCAGGCTGGAGTGCAGTGGTGTGATTACGGCCCACTGTAGCCTTAACCTCCCTAGCTGAAGCAATCCTCCCACCTCAGCCTCCCAAGTGGCTGGGACTACAGGCTTGCACCATCACACCTGGCTAATTTTTAAATTTTTTTTGTACAGACTAGGTCTAGCTATGTTGCCTAGGCTGGTCTCAAACTCCTGGGCTCCAGAGATCCTCCCAACTTCCCAGCTTCCCAAAGTGCTGGGATTACAGGTGTAAGTCACTACACCCAGCCAACATTGTTAATAATAACATCAAAATGCCTATTTTTTCAAACTGATGGTGTGATTTAAATCCAGATCACTTAAACAATACTCAATAAAAATATTTATAAGCCCCATATAAATCTGTAAGTAGAGATAGTACACATAAGAAGGTTAATACATAAATATATACAAAGGCAATTTAATATTTTTTTTTTAAATGGCTTTTCCATTGAGAGGATTTGCCTCACTGCTGTCTTTGCCCACACCATTATCTTTCAAAGTCACTTGTGAATGGGAGTGTTGTGGGCATTAGTCCATTATCAACCCCTACCAACTTCACCAAGCTGACCTATCTATGAATCAAGCTTGAGTTCCTCTCCTCTGTTAGCTAGACATAGAAAAACCACCATGAGGTCATGGGTGAGAGCCAAGGAAGAGATGTCAGTCAGTGACACAGCAGGGGAATTGGGGAGGCCTGGCCACCTGTCCTGCAGCTTATCTGTGCCTCATGTACCTGTTCAAATACACTCTCCTGTGTACTCTCTTACAGTAGATTCCGGCTGAACCCACCTATCCTTATAACTTGGGGCTTTGAGATCATCTGGCTCATGATGAGCTGTTCTGGCCACACGGCCACTTGGTGTCCCGTGGTGAGGTACTCAGCCTATAGGGGCCCAGTGGCCTGCCACGAACTGCATTCCACCAGTATGGAATGTTCTGCAAGCAAAACCAAAGGAGCCTAACAAGTGGTGTGCTTCTTTCTTACAAGTAGGCAGTGAAATATGCAGCAAACTACTTTTTACTTTGAAGGGGCCATCAGTACGTGTCCTGTCCTAATCTGGCAGGCCTCTGGGTCTTCATAGTGTGAATGTTGTGCCCTCTGGATTATACATATCTATTAAGGCATCTACAGTACATGCCACATCTGGCTCATTATCATGTATCCTCAAAATAGTAGACCAATGTAATTGTTGTGAAATGACTGAATAGTATAGATCCCTATGACAGAAAATAAGAGAAGAACTAATATAGTCCTGGAGCAATCCTGTGAATTTATACCATTGTCATTTCCTGCTAATGCAAACTGCCTTGATCCTCTTTTTTGATTGGTATGAAAAGACTATTTTCATCAGATCAATGATGGCATACTACATACTCGAGGCTGTGTTAATCTTCTCTAGTAAAGATATCACACCCAGGGCAGTAGCTGCAATTGGGACTACTCCTTTGTTAAACTAAAAAAGCACACATTCATTTACCATCTGGTTTTTATAGACGCCAGAATGGTAACTCAATGGGAACCACTACCCTTGCATCCTTTAAATCTTTGAGGGTGGCTGTCATCTCTTTTATGCCCCTTGGAGATGTGATATGCTTTTTATTTACTGTCTTGGCTGGATGGGGGTTTGGCAGTTTCAGGGGCTTCCATTTGGCCTTTTCTGTTACAATTGCTCTTACTCATGGGTCTTATAACATTGAATTAACAAGAAAGTCACAGCTGGAAAAACTAGATATTTCCATCTCTAAAGTTACACAGCATTATATTATATAAGGTGCATGTATGCTCACCCTCTCGCCTCCTCCTTTTCACTTCAGTTACGTTCCAGCAGCTCACTCCAGCTGCTCTGTCAAGCTGTTTTCTGCCCTGAGGCTTCTCTGCTGTAGTCAGTGGGACACCGGCAGCAGCCTTCTTAGCCCTTCTGTCAAATATGCAAACCTGGAAATAGGAGGAACTGAACACCCTTGACCAGCGGGGAGGGAAGCCGTGGATAAATCCTTCCATCTTATCTCCCTCAGGCAGATAATGATGAGGTTCATTCTACATGGCTCTTTGGAAGGATTTCTAGAAAGAACACCTCAGTTACCCATAGTGGTGGTCAGCTTTATAACCCACCCTTGATTTGGCTTTCCTTCCAGTCCAGTGTCACTTTTCCACCTCCCCTCTCCTATTCCTTGAGATCACTTACCAAATAAAGCAGCTGTTGTGAGATCTAGTTTCCGCATCTACACTGTGAGCTTGGTGTGGCACTTTTATGTATAGAATTTATACGTGTTGTACCAAAATCAGAAAACACATGTAGGCACTTCAGAGAAAGAATCAAGCAAGATCCTACTATCTAGACATAGCTTTCTAGACTATTGTTTATGCATCTATTTTTTGAAAAATGGGAAGTACAGTAAGTAAAGTATTTTTTGCTTTAAGAAAAAGTATTTTTTGTATTGTAAACATTTTATGTATTGTAAACATTTTTCATTCATGGTGAGAACATTAAAAATCCTCTTTTTTTAAGCTGTTTTGATATATATAATAAAGTATTACTAACTATGGTCACCAGGCTATGCAATAATGGATTACTAGAACTTATTATTCCTAACTGAAACTTCGTACCACTTGACCAACCCCTCCCCTTTCCCCACCACCTCCACCCCCACTGGCCTCCAGTGAGATCTTGGCTCACTGCAACCTCCGTCTCCTGGGTTCAAGTGATTCTTGTGCCTCAGCCTCCCGAGTAGCTGGGATTACTGGCATTGAACTCCCAGCCTCAAGTGATCTGCCTGCCTCAGCCTCCCAAAGTGCTGGGATTATGGGTGTGAGTCACCGCCCCTGGCCTTACCCTCTACTTCTATGAGTTTGATTTATTTTAGACTCCACAAATAGGCAAGATCATATGGTATTTGTCTTTTTGTGCCTGGCTTATTTTACTAAGCATAATGTCCTCTAGTTCATCCACGTTGTTGCAAATGACAGAATTTCCTTTTTTTTTTTTTTTTAGGGTGAACAGTATTCTATTGTGTATATATACCACATTTTAAAACTCACTCATCTGTTGATGGATACTCTGGATGTTTCCATATTGTGGCTATTTTTGTTTGTTTGTTTCATTTTGGTTTTTATTATACTTTAAGTTCTGGGATACATGTGCAGAATATGCAGGTTTGTTACATAGGTATACATAGGCCATGGTGGTTTGCTGCACCCATCAACCTGTCATCTGCATTAGGTATTTCTCCTAATGCTATCCCTTCCCTAGTCCCCCACCCCCTGACAGGCCCCAGTGTGTGATGTTCCCTTACCTGTGTCCCTGTGCTCTTATTGTTCAACACCCACTTATGAGTGAGAACATGTGGTGTTTGGTTTTCTGTTCCTGTGTTAGTTTGCTGAGAATGATGGTTTCCAGCATCATCCATGTCCTTGCAAAGGACATGAACTCATCCTTTTTTATGGCTGCATAGTATTCCATGGTGTATATGTGCCACATTTTCTTTGTCCAGTCTATCATTGATGGGCATTTGGGTTAGTTCCAAGTCTTTGCTATTGTGAACAGTGCTGCAATAAACACACGTGTGTGTGTCTCTCTCTCTATAGTAGAATGATTTATAATCCTTTGGGTATATACCCAGTAGTGGGATTGCTGGGTCATATGGTATTCCTGATTCTAGATCCTTGAGGAATTGCCACATTGTCTTCCACAATGGTTGAACTAATTTACAGTCCCACCAACAGTGTAAAAGTATTCCTATTTCTTCACATCCTCTCCAGCATCTGTTGTTTCCTGACTTTTAAATGATTGCCATTCTAACTGGTGTGAGATGGTATCTCCTTGTGGTTTTTATTTGCATTTCTCTAATGACCAGTGATGATGAGCTTTGTTTCATATGTTTGTTGGCCACATAAATGTCTTCTTTTGAGAAGTATCTGTTTATATCCTTCACCTACTTTTTGATGGAATTGTTTGTTTTTTTTCTTGTAAATTTGTTTAAGTTCCTTGTAGAGTCTGGATATTAGCCCTTTGTCAGATGGATAGAGTGCAAAAATTTTCTTCCATTCTGTAGGTTGCCTGTATACTCTGATGATAGTTGCTTTTGCTGTGCAGAAACTCTTTAGTTTAATTAGATCCCATTTGACGATTTTGGCTTTCGTTGCCATTGCTTTTGGTGTTTTAGTCATAGTCTTTGCCCATGCTTATGTCCTGAATGGTATTGCCTAGGTTTTCTTCTAGGGTTTTTATGGTTTTAGGTCTTATGTTTAAGTCTTTAATCCATCTTGAATTAATTTTTATATAAGGTGTAAGGAAGGGGTCCATTTTCAGTTTTCTGCATATGGCCAACCAGTTTTCCCAACGCCATTTATTAAATAGGGAATCCTTTCCCCATTACTTGTTTTTGTCAGGTTTGTCAAGGATCAGATGGTTGTAGATGTGTGGTGTTATTTCTGAGGCCTCTGCTCTGTTCCATTGGTCTATATATTTGTTTTGGTACCAGTACCATGCTGTTTTGGTTAACGGAGCCTTGTAATATAGTTTGAAGTCAAGTAGTGTGATGCCTCCAGCTTTGTTCTTTTTGCTTAGGATTCTCTTGGCTATATGGGCTCTTCTGTGGTTCCATATGAAATTTAAGATAGCTTTTTTTCTAATTCTGTGAAGAAAGTCAATGGTAGTTTGATGGGGATAGCACTGAATCTATAAATTACTTTGGGCAGTATGGCCATTTTCACGATATTGATTCTTCCTATCCATGAGCATGGAAAGTTTTTCCATTCATTTGTGTCCTCTCTTATTTCCTTGAGCAGTGGTTGGTAGCTCTCCTTGAAGAGGTCCTTCACAATCCTTGTAAGTTGTATTCCTAGGTATTTAATTCTCTTTTTAGCAATTGTAAATGGGAGTGTGCTCATGATTTGGCTCTCTGTTTGTCTATTAATGGTATATAGGAATGCTTATGATTTTTGCACAATGATTTTGTATCCTGAGACTTTGCTGAAGTTGCTTATCAGCTTAAGAAGATTTTGGGCTGAGACAATGGGGTTTTCTAAATACACAATCATGTAATCTGCAAACAGAGACAATTTGACTTCCTCTCTTCCTATTTGAATACCCTTTATTTCTTTCTCTTGCCTGATTGCCCTGGCCAGAACTTCCAATACTGTGTTGAGTAGGAGTGGTGTGAGAGGGCATCCTTGTCTTGTGCCAGTTTTCAAAGGGAATGCTTCCAGCTTTTGCCCATTCAGTATGATATCGGCTGTGGGTTTGTCATAAATAACTCTTATTATTTTGAGATATGTTCCATCAATACCTAGTTTATTGAGTATTTTTAGCATGAAGGGGTGTTGAATTTTATCAAAGGCCTTTTCTGCATCTGTCAAGATAATCATGTGGTTTTTCTCATTGGTTCTGTTTATGTGATGGATTGCATTTATTGATTTGCATATGTTAAACTAGCCTTGCATTCCAGGGATGAAGTCCACTTGATCATGGTGGATAAGCCTTTTGATGTGCTTCTGGATTCACTTTGCCAGTATTTTATTGAGGATTTTTGCACCGATGTTCATCAGGGATATTGGCCTGAAATTTTCTTTTTTTGTCATGTCTCTGCCAGGTTTTGGAATCAGGATGATGCTGGCCTCATAAAATGAATTAGGGAGGATTCCCTCTTTTTCTGTTGTTCGGAATAGTTTCAGAAGTAATGTTACCATCTCTTCTTTGTACCTCTGGTAGAATTCGGCTGTGAATCTGTGTGGTCCTGGGCTTTTTTTTTTGGTTGGTAGGCTATTAGTTACTGCCTAAATTTCAGAACTTGTTATTGTTCTGTTCAGGGATCCAAATTTTTCCTGGTTTAGTCTTGGGAGGGTGTAAGTGTCCAGGAATTTATCCATTTCTTCTAGATTTTCTGGTTTATTTGCGTAGAGGTGTTTATAGTATTCTCTGATGGTAGTTTGTATTTCTTTGGGATCAGTGGTGATATACCCTCTATCATTTTTTATTGTGTCTATTTGACTCTTCTCTTGTTTCTTCTTTATTAGTCGGGCTAGCAATCTATTTTGTTAATCTTTTCAAAAAAAGCAGCTCCTGGATTTATTGACTTTTTGAAGGGTTTTTTGTGTCTCTATCTCCTTCAGTTCTGCTCTGATCTTAGTTATTTCTTGTCTTCTGCTAGCTTTGGAATTTGTTTGCTCTTGCTTCTCTAGTTCTTTTAATTGTGTTATTAGGGTATCAATTTTAGATCTTTCCCATTTTCTTCTGTGGGGATTTAGTGTTATAAATTTCCTTCTAAATACTGCTGTAGCTGTGTTCCAGAGATTCTGGTACATTGTGTCCTTGTTCTCATTGGTTTCAAAGAACTTATTTATTTTTGTCTTAATTTCATTATTTACCCAATAGTCATTCAGGAGAAGGTTGTTCAGTTTCCATGTAATTGTGCAGTTTTGAGTGAGTTTCTTAATCCTGAAGTTCTAATTTGATTGCACTGTGGTCTGAGAGACTGTTATGATTTCTGTTCTTTTGCATTTGCTGATGACTGTTTTACTCACAGTTATATGGTCAATTTTAGAATAAGTGTGATTTGGTGCTGAGAAGAATGTACATTCCATTGATTTGGGTGGAGAGTTCTGTAGATGTCTGTTGGGTCTGTTTGGTCCAGAACTGAGTTCAAGTCATGGATATCCTTGTTAGTTTTCTGTCTCATTTATCTGTCTAGTATTGACAGTGGGGTGTTAAAGTCTCCCACTATTGTTGTGTAGGAGTCTAAGTCTCCTTGTAGGTCTCTAAGAACTTGCTTTATGAATCTGGGTGCTCCTGTATTGGGTGCATTTAGGATAATTAGCTATTCTTGTTGCATTGATCCCTTTACTATTATGTAATGACCTTCTTTGTCTCTTTTGATCTTTGTTGGTTTAAAGTCTGTTTTATCAGAGACTAGGATTGCAACCTCTGCTCTTTTTTTTTTCTTTCCATTTGCTTGGTAAATCTTCCTCCATCCCTTTGTTTTGAGCCTATGTGTGTCTTTGCATATGACATGAGTCTCCTGGATACAGCACACCAATAGGTCTTGACTCTTTATCCAATTTGCCAGTTCGTGTTTTTTTTTTTTTTTTTTTTTTTTTTTTTTTTTTTTTTTTTTGAACGAGTCTCGCTCTGCGCCAGGCTGGAGTGCAGTGGCCCGATCTCAGCTCACTGCAAGCTCCGCTCCAGGGTTCACACATTCTCCTGCCTCAGCCTCCGAGTAGTTGGGACTACAGGCACCGCGCCCGGCTAGTT